AGTCTTATTGGCCTATAATTCACACACCATATAATTTAATAGTTCAATCTGTATATTTTTTTAAAAAGAGGCTTCCCAGGAAATCTTTGTCAGTTAAATTCAAATGGAGAGAAGTCGGCCCTTGGTAGATTTTCTCGAAGGACTTGTGAGCTTATTAGAAGTTTTAAGAAAATCGACAGCTGCATTGGTGAGAAAAAGGTCAAGAAAACCGTGGCAAGCCACTGCCTCCATCACGGCAGTGTTCCTGCTCATTCGTCAAGGTCGCAGGAGACCGTCCCGGTCACGCACAGCCCTGGTCAGCCCTCCGTCTTCGTGACGTTCCCCAAAACCTAGTCATTAAAGGCCAGTAGGAGAGGGAGGGAGGGAGGGAGCAACCCACAGCTGAGAGCACACACAGCGAGTCTCAATAGAACGGGAGAAAAATGCAGACCAGGACTAAGACTCTTCAAAAGTCCAGACTTGCTGATGCAGCTGAGGCTAGATGCTTCCAGGAGACTGTCGACCTTTCCAAGCGACTCGTAAGTCCCTGATCTGAAGCGAACGGTCCCACCGGTCGCTCTTCGGTGAACTATCATGGGCACACAGAGGCCTTTACCCATGGGTGTGCTGCTCCTTCAAGACTATCCGGATGAGCCCAAACGGTCAACGGTTTCCTTGAAGAAAAGTGAGGGCATAATGGGGCAGCGAAACTAGCGTGCTGGAACCGGAAGGCCCGGACACAGTTAAAGGGATTGTTGATACATTGTAAAAAAGGTAATGCTAATGAGCAATTTGCGTAGAAGTGTTGAGGTGGAAACTTAAAAGTTTCTGTGTTATCTTTCTACCCCAAATACAATCAAAACTAAAAATGGACATCATCCTTCAGACTGCCAAATAAACACATGGCACCTGCAACTTTGGGGAGTCCATCCAAGGCACAGACGAGGCACCTGCTGGCCACGAAGATGGGCTGCTTGCTCACCCTCCACCAGGAGAGCCCCAAACCCAGGAACCCACACAACCCCTTAATTTCTGCTCAGCGGTTGGTTCCCATTGTCTTCTGGACTCTAATTTGCCGAACAACTCAGAATTCTCAGAGATTATACCGTCCTTATGGCTACAGGTTTATTACAATAAAAAAGGATGCAGAAGAGACTGGGACAACATCTTCAAAGTTTCTTGATAGGGAGCTTGTGTGTCACCAGGGATGTGCCACCCTCCTGAAAGCAGGTGTTCAGGGGCTTGGTCACCCAGTGCCTCCTGAGGTGAGCTGATAGTGACCGCCCAAATGACTTTTCTACTCTGGGCACCTTTCACACCCCCCCACCATGTCAGCAGGAACTTTCATATGTGACCTGGAAACAGACCAGGGGTCCTCAAACTTTTTAAACGGGGCCAGTTCACTGTCCTTCAGACCTGTTGGAGGGCCGGACTATAGTTTAAAAAAAAAACAACAACTGTGAACAAATTCCTATGCACACTGCACATAGCTTATTTTGAAGTAAAAAACAAAATGGGGCAAAAATACCCGGCGGGCAGGGTAAATGTCCTCTGCGGGCTGCAGTTTGAGGACGCCTGCCCTAGACCAATGCACCTGTTATTTCAAGGGTAATTTTCCTGGAGCCACGGACAAGACCACCTTTATTAGGGTGAAGCTAGATTATTTAATCCTCAATGGTCCACACTCTCTTTACATGCTGTTGAAAACCGGACATCTGATTATTATTAAAATATGGTGGCTCTGGGGACCGGATTCTTCCCTTTCCCCAGTCGGTTGGTTTTAGTTTGGGGGCTTCTTTGGTT